CAGCAAGCAACTATTTCCAGTTTTATCTGTGCCTCTCCCCTGCTGTTGGGTGTTGTCGCGGAGGTAAAGATGGTTGTGTGGGGTCTGTGTCCTCAGTCAGCTTCCATTTTGTGGGCTGGCAGCCCCGTCCCAGCAGGTGTCTTGCTTTACTCTGGCCTTGGCTTTGCAGGTGGCCTGCTACAGCTGCACATCCGGGCAGTGGTCATCTGTCTGCCCGCTCCCAGCAGGGCACGGCGAGCCTGGCATCGCTGTGCTAGACAACAGGATCTACGTGCTGGGCGGCCGCTCGCACAACCGCGGCAGCCGCACGGGCTACGTGCACATCTACGACATGGAGAAGGACTGCTGGGAGGAGGGGCCCCAGCTAGACAACTCCATCTCGGGCCTAGCGGCCTGCGTGCTCACCCTGCCCCGCTCCCTGCTCCTCGAGCCTCCCCGTGGGACCCCTGACCGCAGCCAGGCCGACCCGGACTTTGCCTCCGAGGTGATGAGTGTGTCTGACTGGGAGGAGTTCGACAATTCTAGCGAAGACTAGGGCTCCAGGGGCCCGGTGTCAGGGGAAGGGTGGCGGGAGCTCCGAGGGCAGCAGGGCCCGTAGGCGGCCCAGGCCAGAGCACCTTACCCCAGGGCGTTGGCCACCCTGCCTCCTGGCACCTTTCCTTCACACCAGCCCGTCTGCCGGTATTTGCAGGGCTGCAACAGGTATGTGTGGGGCCCTGCAGATCTGTGGCTGTGGATTACCCAGCAATGGGAAATGCTTGTGAAGAGCCCTGGTCCTCTGAAGTTTACCAGGCCCACTCCTCTGCTCAGACATGGTGCGCCATCACCAGCTGTCTTGGCCCCCCTGGTTCCGGTGCCTGCTGGGTTAAGAAGGCGCCCTTCTCCAGAGAGACCTAGGGACTGGTGCCCAGGCGAGGGGGCTGCAGCACACTGAGCCCCCTTCTGTGGGCAGGGAGGGGGCAGAGTGAGCCCCTCACCGGCCCAGCAGCCCAGGGCTGGAGAGGGAGCAGAGATACATAAAGTTGCCTGAGACTGGTTCTAGCGATAAACAGATCCCCTACAGCTGAGCTTTTCTGACCCCATGTTGTTAATAAATGAAATAAATCGTCTTACAGAATGTGTGAATTGTCTTCCTGTGGCCATAGCCTTGCTTCCTCACACAGCTGGTCCAAGGTGGCAGCACGGGGAAGCAGGGTTTCTGGGGGCCCAGCTGCTGTGGGCCCAGGCTCTGGGCTAGCAGCTGAGGCCAGAGCTGCTGAGTCCTAGTGGGAGACCTAGAGCCTGCCTCAGAGGAAAGGATGGTACCCCCCAGGCTAGAACGGTGTCACTGGGAAACCTGGAAACCTGCCCCTATGTGGTGACACGTGGTCACAGGCCTGCTTGAGCACCTCCAGTGAGGAGCTCTTCTCTGAACTTCCGTCGACTTCCAGTGAGCAATCTCCTGGCCCCAAGTAAAGCCCCAGCCTATGGTTCAGGAAACTGACTCCCAGCACCTGAGGAGGGAGGCCATGTCAACATAGAGGCCCCGTAAGAGGCCTGCGCCCAGCTCCTTCCCACCCCCTGGATCTGAGTGTGTGTGTTGGGGGGGTGCTGCGTTCCCTGCAGGTTTGCCAGGTGAGTTCTTAGCAAATCATCTCAAGGGCCACGCTGGTGCAGTGGAGGGAACCCTCTTGGGGCGCCACACAGGCCTGCACAGCTGAGCTTCCACCTGAACAGCCCCTCCTGCCTACCGCAGGCCTCCCTGCCCGGCACCACCCTGCAGCGCCCTGTGACTCCTAAGGCTGGGCAGAGCAGGGGATGACTGGGTCTTCTCTGTGTCCCCTCGTGCCTTGCCCAGAGCCAGCGCCCTGTCACGGAAGGGAGGGGAGCGGAGGGGCAGCGTGCGCTTCTCCATGAGAGCACGGGGGTGGGGAGAGAGGTAGGCTTGGCTGCTCTGGGCTTTCCTTTCTGGATACCCTGAGGACTTTGGGGGGTGGGGGTGAGGCCAGTGGGAGTCACTGTCTGTTCCTCAGGGCTGTGGGACCTTCCTCACTGTCTCTTGGGGCCTGGGTACCCCTGAGGAAACGTGCCCCTGCTCCCTAACCCCCATGTAACATCATGCACTCACTCGTCTGGTTGGCAAGCCCAGTGTTGACCCTGGTGGGTCACTCCTAGTGGGTCAGGATGGCCACCTTCTCCAGTGTCATCTCTGCTCCTGAGGGTGAAGTGCTAGAACACTTGGCATAGGGACCTTGCACTTCCTCTCTCTGCCACCGCCTTAGAGGCCAGGGCAGCAGTTCCTGCAAACCCCAGAGGTTTCTGGGAGGAGGAGTGCCAGGAATGCCCCCCTACTCTCTCCAGTGTGCCATCTCCCCACCCAGAGCCATGCAAGAGACCTGGGCTGTAGGGGAGGGGCGAAGGGTCTATGAGGCCCTGCAAAGCTTGGGGTTAGAATAGACGTGAGCCCTGGAAGGTGACCTGAGAGCTGGGCAGCAGCCTGGCCCTGCCACTGTCTATCCTCTAGGCCCAGCCTAGCATTCACCCGCCACTAGCAAGCCACCACCTCCTGCCCCTGAGCCTAGCCAGCCCGAGCTCGCCAGCTTGGCAGGCTGTCAGGCCCTGCATTCATGCTTTCGCTTGGCTGCTTGCTCATCCTTTTCAATGTGCAGAATCCTCACCCTGCAAGCCAACTTCCTTCAGGAAGCCATCCCTGGCTAGGACCAGTTGGTCCGGGCTCTGGGCTCTCAGAGTTTGCCTGCGTGGTTGTCAGTCATCTGTGGGTGCCGGTGAACCCGCAGCTTCCTCATCCTGGTATTCACCTGGCACCAGGACAAGCACAGGACAATTCATTCTCTCCAGCTGCACTTCTCAGTCTCGAGATAGGGGTGTGGTAGTGGCTGGGGCCATGAGCCCTGCCTTCCACTCCTGAACTCGCTGTCAACTGGGGGTTGGCTGCTGTGGGACACATGCAAGGGGCTGTGGATCTCAGTGAGATGAGGCTGGAGATGGTCCTTGTCCTGAGGGCAGTGGGAGGCAGCCAGAAGTGAGATTAGAAATATCACTCTGGGTCGTACACAGGTGGGGCTGAGTAGAGACTGGAGACATTTTGGAGGTCCTGGTGATGGGTGTAACCGGGTGGGGGTCTTGTCCAAGTGGTGCTCTTCAGAGGTGGGAATTCAGGGGGTCAGTTCTGGGGGAAGGGCAAAGCAGGTGATGGGGTTTGAGGTGCCTGTTCATGAACTCAGGCCAGCTGGAGTGAGTGTCCCCTCTATCTCTGGGGTCTGTGCTGGGCTGCCATAAGCTGCTGGGCAGACACTGCAACCACATAGACCTCTGCTGGCCTCTGTTGGTGGCAGCCAATGGGAGCGGCACTAGGAGGGCGCTGCTGAGGTCAGGGCTGTGCCAAGGTGGAGCTGCCCAGAAGTGGTTGGCCTGTTTACTTGTCCCTGAGAAGCGTTTGCACTCATGACAGCACAGGTGCAACTTCCCCTTCCAGCCCACCCAGCTGTTGCCTGCCCCTAGCCTCCTTCCTGCACTAGCATGGCTGAGCAAGGGGCCCTAACCTCCAAAGCCACGCACCCTGCTCCTCCCCACCCTCCACCAGTCTGCCCTGGACAGGTCTCTGGTGATGCCCACAGCCCTGGGCCTTTTGGTGGCCCTTGTTCCATGCCCCCTCCTCCAGCCCCACCCTCCAACCAGATGGTCCCTCCACCTAACTGAGGAGGGACAAGGCCTCTCCCTCCTCCTCAGGGAGCCTGCATGCATGCAGCCTATTCCCCCAAGAGAAGGCAGGTGCCCTCTCCCTGCTCAGGCCCTCGGGCCAACTCTCAAGTCCCCGCAAGTCAAGCATATCTTTTCTGGGACCCAGCTGCCCCACTTTTTGTTCCATCTCCAGGCCCACCCACTCTCCTGCTCCGTGGGCCCTGAGGTTGGGTCTGACCCCGACTCCCCCAGCATGGGGCAGCCCTCTGCTCCTCAGGCTCAGACTTTCTCTTCCTCCCTGTCCCCCTAGGCCCTTTCCCTCTCAATCATCTTCCCCACAGTCCCTGCTTCCCCTGTCTGCTCTGTGCTGTCACTCCAAATGCACCTGATGCAGGAGCTCGAGTATCTCCAGCCCTGACTGCACCTTCTGGACTTTTCCCTCTGGTGATCCAACAGCCTTCTCAAGCAGAATTCCTCTTGCAGGCTCCCCAGCCCCTTTTCATCCCTTGATAAACAAGGACTGCAGGGTGTTGGTCATGAAGCTCTCCGGCTGCCTCTCTCTGCCTTTACCTCCACATTCTTCCGGGGCCCATGGCTGGGCCATTCTACCCCTCCCCAGCATCTCTCCAATCCGTCCCTATGGAGACCCCCTTCGCCCAGGCCTCTGGTCCAGACTGAGTCTACCCGCAGGCCTCAAGCAGCCTGCTCGAGCGTCCTCTGTAGGCTTTGATTGCGCCGAGTGCGCGGGAGGAGCTGACCGCACAACTGGGCACTACGAGGGCTTCACGGGGGGCGGAGCAGAGGCCGGCTTGCGGCCTCGACCTGGGCCGTCTGCGGGCCGCCCTCGCCTGGCCGGTTCCGAGGCGCTGGGGGTGAGAGGGCTTGGTGCGTTGCGCCCTTGTCCCCCATCCGCCTTCCCGCCCCCGGCCGGGCCGCGCAGTGAGCGCGCGGGGGCGGCTTCGCCGATGGGGGTCTGGGGAGGGGAGGAAAAGGCGCGGGACCGGGGATTCCTCGGGCGGCCCCAGCGGCCCGTCCCTCCCCCAACGCTCTGCGGTTCTCCTCCAAGTTCGCCCTCAAGTTTGCGAGCGGCCGCGTGGGGGCGGGGGCCGCGCGGAGGGGCGGTGGCGCGGCCGGAGGGTGGGGTCTGGCGCGCGGGGCGGGCGCTGCCGCCTGGCCGGCCGCGGCTGGCCCGGGATCAGGGAGCCGATGTGGAATTTCCTGCCCGGCCCGGCGCCCCTCCTGCCGCCCCCCGCCCGGCCGCGCACTCCGCTTCCGGCCGCTCTCGCTGCGGCCGCACCCGCGCCCGCGCCCGCCCCGCGCCTGCCCCGCGCCGCATGGAGGGCGCAGGGCCCTGGGGCGCCGGGCCGGCGCGGCGCCGGGGAGCCGAGGGGCCGCCGCCGCCGCTGCTGCTGCCGCTGCTGCTGCTCTGGCTGCTGCCCGGCTCCGTGGCGCCCCAGGAGCTGAACCCGCGCGGCCGCAACGTGTGCCGTGCGCCCGGGTAGGAGCCCGGCCAGGCTGGGGGAGGGGGCTGAGGGGCACGCTCGGGGCGGCGGGGAGGGGGGCGCCTGGCCCGGGGCGGGGGGTGCGCCCGGGACCTCCCTACGCCAAACGCGTGGGTCCCTTCGGCCGCCCTCGCCGACGCCGGCTCCGCTCCAGGCCGAGCCTGAGCGCCTGGCCACGACGGTGCATCCGAAGATCCCTCGGAGGGGAAGTCAGCTGAGGGGAGAAAGGGGTGCGTGCGCGCCCTGACTGCTGACGGGCAGTGTCCGAGGGTTCAGACCTAGGGAAAGGGACCCTTGGGCCGGCTTGTGAAGGCTGTAAGAAGAAGTCCGAGAAGGGAATTCCAAGCAGATGGAATGGCATGTGCAAAGGCCCCAGCACGAGTGTGGCTCGAGCCGGGATAGAGGAAGGGTGAGGGTCGAGGGGAGATGGGGCGGCGCTGCTGAGAGGTGGGGAGCCGGGGAGGTCTTGAGGAAGGTAAGACTCGGAAGGACAGATTTGAGTCTTAGAAAGAGTGGGCGCGGATGGGAGGAGGATGGTGATGGCGGTGGGCACCGAGGAGCCTGCGCTCAGAGTGGACCAGAAGCGGGAATCGAAAGGACAATGACATGTACCGGGATCAGGAGGATGTGGAATTCCCAGGTGGGGATACTGGGTGCGCGGAGGGGCCAGGCAGATGTGGGGCCCCACGAGGAGCGGGCTGGGGAACCTAATAAGGGACAGGCCCTGCCGGAGGGCAGCGGGCCCAGGACGTTGCGCGGAGGGCGAAGAGCAGAGAACAGGACGCCAGGAGTGGGTGCAGGGGTCGGAGGACTTGATCTGCCTTCAGAGGCGACGACGTGGTGAAGGGCAGCTCCGTGCGAGGACAAGGAGCCCGAGTGTGGGAGCGCCTTGGGGCTGTCAGGGGGGCGTCGCGAGGGCGGGAAGCTGGAGAGGCGGCCCCTGGGCGCTGAGCTAGGTCCCGTCGGGGCGCCCTGGGCCGCAGGGCAGGAGGAGGCCGCGTCCGGGGGCACGGCGGTCGCCGCAGACAAGGGGCTGCGAGGGGGCCGCGCGGGGTTTCCGAGCTCGGATCCCGAGGCGCGCAGACCCCTCCCCGCTGCGAGCCCCGCCTCCGGGGCGGGGGCCGGCCTGGCCCGCCATCTGCTTCGCATCGACGCCGCCGCCGCCTCCCGGGCCTCCCGGGCCCCAGGAATGCAGCGGCGGTGGCGGGCGGGGCCGTGCCTGGAGAGGGGGAGGGCGCACTCGCCGCCCGGGCCTATCTGTCCGCCTCAGCCCTCCTTCCCCGCGGGGTCCGTGCTGGGCGATCTGGTGGCAGGCTGGAGCTGCCGAGAGCCTGCTCCCACTTCCCTCCCCCGAGACCTCCCCGCGAGGCGGCCTATTACAGTAGCCAAGAGCCCGGGTTTCGGTTTCAGATCCTGGCACCACCTCTTCCCACCTGTGTGGAGCCAAGCAAATCGCTTAACCTCTCTAGACCTGTCTCTGCCTGTCAAATAGGGTTGGTGGTGGTCCCCACCTCATGGAGTGGAGGGGGATGACTGGAGGGTTAGCCACGGTGGATGCCACCCACCCCAGGTCTGGGCCATCTCTTTTGTTATCTTCCCAAGGCCAGGCCTGGCAAGGCTTCTGCCAGTGGTTCCCTTCCCCTGGAGGCAGGAGGACCAGAGGAGATGAGCATGCACTTAGCCAATAAAATCCCAAGCACCTAGTGTGTGCCAGGCCTGAGACTGGTGCAGGGATCAGCAGCAGAGACAAATGCCCCTGTCCCCAAGACACAGGGGACTTACAGCAAATCATCTGATGTCTAGCAAGTGCTGGGGAGGAGGTGTTGAGTGGGGAGTGCGGTTTCCCTTAGGGTGGTCTGGGGAGCCCCGCTGAGAAGGGCTGAGAGGACAGAGGGCTGCAGGAGAGGAGGTGGAGCCTGGTGGTGTGTGGGGCAAGGCCCTGAGTGCAGAGGGCCTCGAGGGAAGACAGAAAGGACCGCCGGGGCTGGGCAGAGCCCAGGAGGGGTGTGGTGGAGGAGAGGCCAGAGAGTGAGGGTGGGCGGGCCACAGGGGGTCTGCCCCCTCTTGTGAGGACTTGAGCTTTTTGTCTGAGGGCCATGGGAACCCCTGGTGGCTTTGCACAGAGGAGGGATGGGATCTGACCAGGGTTGGCTGCCAGGTGGCAGATGACCTGGGGGCAGGAGGGCAGAAAGCAGGGCTAGTTAGCAGAAACCAGAGAGAGTGAGAGTGGGCTCTCACAAGGCTGGGGCCTGGCAGGGGACCAGTGGCCCATGCCCTCCTAGGTCCAGTTTGGGAGGTAGAGCCATGTTTCCGATGGATCTGGTGTGCGCTGTGAGAGAGCAGAATCAGGGATGCTGCTGCCGGCGTTTCAGCCTCCTAGCCTGGAAGGACAGGGCTTACCTGAGATGGGAAAAACTCGAGGTAGGGGGAGGCTAAGTGTTCAGTTTTGAGGGGGGAGGGCCCCACTGGAGATCTCTGATGCATGGCGTCTTGATGGGACCTAGTGAGCTTCTTGAGGGAGCTAGTGTGGATGGTGGAGAGAAGAGAGAGCCAAGGAGGGGTCAGAAACCAGAGAAGGGATGTCAGGGGGGGCAGGAGGACAGTCAGGCAGGTATGGGGTCCCAGATGGTGTGGGGGGCAGAGTAGCCTCCTGACTGGATTCGGGAGAGAATGGGGACAGACACTGGCACAGTGAACAAGCAGTGTTCCTGGGAGCTTTGCTGCAGCCGCACGGGCAGGTTCAAGATCACGGTTTAAATCGTGGCAGCTTTGTTTGCAATAACAGTGATCTACAGAGGGCAGAAGCAGCCTGCAGCATGGCCCGCTTGCTGAGGGGCCTGGGCCCAGCCTGTGGCCTGGCTCCCCAGGGGCTTGCCAACTGACAGCTGGAGTGCAGGAACTGTCCCCTGCACCAGGTCGTCTTTCTCCTCATCTCACTTTCATAAGATCTGGGGAGAATGGGCTCGCCACCACAGCCTGGCCTTGTCTGCCAGCCCTTTCCAGAAGGAAAGGTGGCTGTCCCACAGACTGGACCTCCTATTCTTGGTGAACGCCCATGGGCTCTGTCCTGCTGGGAGATGTTAGTTCTGCTGGGGTGGGGGCTGGGTGCTGGCCATGCAGGGGGGAACAGGTGAACTGAGAGGCTTCCTGGAGCCTGCTCAGCACGGGCTGGAGAGCAGACTATAGCTTTGCCTGAGCTCTTAGTTCATGCCAAACGCTTGACACATCTTGATTCTCTTAATCATCCTGCTAAACCCATGGGCCCCATTCTACAGATGAGTCTGAAGTCCAGAGAGGTGAAGTTCTGTGCCTAAGGTCACACAGCAAGTGGCAGACCCAGGCATCAAATCCAACTTAGTGTGGCCCTAAAACTAGGCTCCCAACCACAGAGCCATGTGGCCAGAGTGGAATGTGGTCAGTGCTTCCAGGGCCATCCCAGCAGGCCACCTGGCAAGGCTGCCTGCAGGAGGGACACCTGCAGAGGCTCTCCACCCAGGGACCTGGGTTCAGAACAGGCGGAAAAGGCAGAAAGGGGATGGCCAGCAGCCCTGGGTCTACCTACAGCCGGGCACCTAGCAGCCCTGGGCAGGGTTGGGTGGGTGGAGACAATGGGGGGTAGGCAAAGTCAGGACTGACTTGTGTCCCTGTGTCTGCTTTCCAGTTTTCTTTGTGGAAAAGAAGCTGGGCCCATTCCCTGCTGTCTGAGATTTTATGGGTTGTGTTCCACAGGTCCCACATCTTTGGCCTGAGGGAGAACCAAGCTCTTTCTGTGCGGTTGGGCCCTGGGGCCTATCTAGGGTGTAGCAATGCTCCCCAGCTGAGGAATGGTTGGGGGCATCTTCTGAGGGGAATGAGGTGAGGCAGCTGCAGCCTTTCCCTTCCCAGTCTGTCCCACTCCACCAGGGTCCTCAGGCCCCCTTCTCGCCTCCTCCCACCACCACATCCAGGTTCTAGATTCAGATCCTCTGAAGAAGCACACTCCTTTTCTCTAAAGTGTGAATGGTTGCAATGTGCCTTTAGGATTTGTGTGAATGTTTTCTAGGAATTATGGGACTGTATGAAGCTGCAGCCTGAGGGTCTGTCCCTTCTCAGCCTCTTTTGTCCCTGAGTGTGGGCACACCCCGGCTCACCCTCATGCACCTCTCTAGTGGTTATGGCTTCACATGGGCAGGGCCTCCAAACCTTTGTGCCCACACACCCCATCAGCCCAGGGTTTTGGAGGCTGTACCACTCCGATATGTGACAGTTATAAATTATTTACCTCCTACTGCGGTAACATCTTGTACCTTTTAAAGCCAAATAAAATTAAGTAAGGTTTTATGGAAGTATAAATAGATGCTGTACTATCTCCTTCCTCCACCCCACAACTTGCCCCAGTGCCCTGGAGCCCTCACAGTCTTACTTTCCTTACTCTCCTGGAGGATTCCCCGGATGTGCCCTTCCCTCCAGAAGGCCCCTCCACCGGGTAGACACCTCACTGTGGCCACACCCCCCCTCACTGAGAGGCTGCCCATCTGCCTTGGCACTTAGCCCCACTGGGCATCCAGCTGTGCCTGTCTCGCCCAGCCAGTCCTGGCGCTGTCCAGGTCATGTCACATCTAGATCCCTAACACCCAACTGGCCCAGCCCCCACCCCCGGGGATACCCTAGACCTCCATGCTTGAGCAGGTCCTCTAGGCCCAGGGACCCCTCCCCAGCCCCCCACCTCACTGCTGCCAGTCCTGGCACACATGCGGTCTAGTGGATGTGGGAGGAGGGCACAGAGCAGTTAGTGGGATGGGGAGGGGTGGGAAGGTCCCTTGTAGAGGGAACTGGGAATTTCTTGGAGGTTAGATCTGTTGGTGGTCTGCCCTCTGTGCTTCCCAGTGTCCGCTCCCCAAGGGCTGGCATTTGTGTCTTTCTCATTCACTGGGAATCTCCCGAACCTACAACAGTACCCAGTACACAGTGAGGCCTCCTTAAGCACCTCCTGAGGCCAGGGCACAGGTTGTTGGGGAGCCCCAGCGAGTACGGGGATTGGGGCTCAGGCTCCCTCTCTCTGCCTGCAGCTCCCAGGAGCCCACGTGCTGCGCCGGCTGGAGGCAGCAGGGGGACGAGTGTGGGATCGGTGAGTGAGGCATTTTGGGGACCTGGGCAGGGGGTGGGGGCACGGAGAGGAGGGGATAGTGTGGGGGCTGGACACGCGGTAGCTTGGGCTCGTCTCATCCGCAGCGGTGTGCGAAGGCAACTCCACGTGCTCGGAGAACGAGGTGTGCGTGCGGCCAGGCGAGTGCCGCTGCCGCCATGGCTACTTCGGTGCCAACTGCGACACCAGTGAGCACGGATTCGGGCGGGCTCTGGGCGGTGGAGTGGGATCCTAGAGGGATGGGCGGGGCCTGTGAGTAGGGCGGGGTCTGATCTGCGAACTGGATGCAGTTTGGGGGCGGGTCCCCAAAGGCGAGGGGCAGGACCCGGGCGGGTTCAGATTGGGTCTGGGCTCCCTGGCGAGCGCCCGGGCCTCCCACCCTCTCCGCTCGCTCCTGCAGAGTGCCCGCGCCAGTTCTGGGGCCCCGACTGCAAGGAACTGTGTATCTGCCACCCACACGGGCAGTGTGAGGATGTGACCGGCCAGTGTACGTGTCACGCGCGGCGCTGGGGCGCACGCTGCGAGCATGCGTGCCAATGCCAGCACGGCGCGTGTCACCCGCGGAGCGGCGCGTGTCGCTGCGAGCCTGGCTGGTGGGGCGCGCAGTGCGCCAGCGCGTGCTACTGCAGCGCCACGTCGCGCTGCGACCCACAGACGGGCGCGTGCCTGTGCCACGCAGGCTGGTGGGGCCGCAGCTGCAATAATCAGTGCGCCTGCAACACGTCGCCGTGTGAGCAACAGAGCGGCCGCTGCCAGTGCCGCGAGCGCACGTTCGGCGCGCGCTGCGAGCGCTACTGCCAGTGCTTCCGCGGCCGCTGCCACCCTGTGGACGGCACGTGCGCCTGCGAGCCGGGCTACCGCGGCAAGTACTGCCGGGAGCCGTGCCCTGCCGGCTTCTACGGCCTGGGCTGCCGCCGCCGGTAAGCGCGGGCCCCCAGCCGGGGAGGAGGGAGGAAAAAGGGCGGGCCCCCGAAGGGGGCGGGGGTGAGGCGGCTCCGGGCCACGCCTAGCCTCCCGCCCCTTCCCCAGATGCGGCCAGTGCAAGGGCCAGCAGCCATGCACGGTGGCCGAGGGCCGCTGCCTGACGTGCGAGCCAGGCTGGAACGGTACCAAGTGCGACCAGCCGTGCGCCACCGGCTTCTACGGCGAGGGCTGCGGTCACCGCTGCCCGCCCTGCCGCGACGGGCATGCCTGCAACCACGTCACCGGCAAGTGCACGCGCTGCAACGCGGGCTGGATCGGCGACCGGTGAGCAGCCCAAGCCCGAATCAGCCCCCGACACGCAGTCCCCCAGCCCTGCTTCCACCCACATGCCTCCCGCAGAGGGCACTATGGGCTTTGGGTTCGTTTGCCCCCATTTCCGCGGACGCCCCCTCCCCGCGTTCCTAGGTGTGAGACCAAGTGCAGCAATGGCACGTACGGCGAGGACTGTGCATTCGTGTGCGCCGACTGCGGCAGCGGCCACTGCGACTTCCAGTCGGGGCGTTGCCTGTGCAGCCCCGGCGTCCACGGGCCCCAGTGAGTGTCCGGGGATCCAAAGGGGTTGGAGGGTACGCACCCCACTCAGGGCTTCAGCCAGATCCCAGGTGCTGCCGCTGAGGGCGTGACAACAGGCTCTTTGGGGCAGTTTCCTGCCCTGATGTGGAGCCTGGGCTCCGAGCGGGACCTGGCGATCAGTTCAGCCTGTGGTCCGAGGCTCCTGAGGACTGCAGGGCTGAGGAGACCCCGAGCTGGTGTAGAGCGACCAGGGACCTCCACTTAGAGACAAGGGCCTGGCCTGGTAGCCCCTTTTCCCATTCATACGAGAGTCAGGGCAAATGGGCACTGCGGCCGGGTGGCCATGGATACTGTCCCCAGACCCTCTCCCGTGCACACATTCATTTCCAACACATCGGTCGCCCAGTATGTGCCAGAATTGGGGGAGGGGGGACGGCGGGCAGCATCAATCCCTAGAGAATGGAGCTGGAGAACCGGCTCCAGGACCGCGGCTGGCTGGCCACGGGGGCGAGGGCGGGACGCGTCACCGAGGGCCGCTGTGGCCCTCCCTGACCCCGCGCCCCGGCAGCTGTAACCTGACGTGCCCGCCCGGGCTCCATGGTGTGGACTGCGCCCAGGCCTGCAGCTGCCACGAGGACTCGTGCGACCCGGTCACTGGTGCCTGCCGCCTGGGTGAGTGGGTGGGGGAAGCGTCCGGTTGGAGGCGGGTGCGGGTGTGCCGGCATCCGCGCTAACCCCTTCCTCCCAACAGAGACCAACCAGCGCAAGGGCGTGATGGGCGCGGGCGCGCTGCTTGCCCTGCTCCTCGGCCTGCTGCTCTCGCTGCTCGGCTGCTGCTGCGCTTGCCGCGGCAAGGACCCTGCACGCCGGTGAGCCCGGATGCCATCCCGCTCCCTACTGAGTTCAGACCGCACAGTGTCTGGCGCGCCGCCCACCCTGCCCCTGGCCCATGCCCAGGCTCCGCCCCTAGGGCGTACCCCTGCCTATCTTTAGCTCAGGCTCCGCCCTCCCGTGTTTCGGCTCGCGCCAAGATCGGACCGCCCTCTCCAGGCCCCGCCCAAGCCCCGCCCCCTCATTCAGGCCCCCGACCCCTCAGGGAGCTCAAGTTTGGGAGGAAGAAGGCGCCGCAGCGACTTTGCGGGCGCTTCAGCCGTATTAGCATGAAGCTGCCCCGGATCCCGCTCCGCAGGCAGAAGCTGCCCAAGGTGGTAGGTAAGGATGCCAGCACGGGGTCTCTGGTGGAACACCTCTCTACGCAGGAGGCTGCTGGGAAATGGGTGGGAAGGGGGTCGGTGTAGGAAATGCGGGGCCTCCAGTGTGGATACGGGTGGGCCTGGGGAGGTGCGACCAGAGAGAAGGAAAGGGGCGATGCTGACTCAGGCGAGCCCGGGGAGGAAAGCAGGAGTCCTGGGAGTGCAGGCAGGTGTGGGGCATGTGTGGGAGGCTGGGGCCCGTCTTGGTGAGTGTGAGTGATGGCACCTGGGGTGTGGTGTGGGTGTGTGGACATCCGGGTCGGGCAGGCCCTCCACAGTCTGTTGGAGTACGCTCTAAGTCCGAGTGGGGAGCTGCAGGTGAACGCGGGGCGCCTGTGCATGGGAAAGCTTTGCCAACACGAAGAAGACCCGGCCCCCTGCCCGGATCCCCTGCAGTGCCCTGGGTCCTTCCGTGAAGGTGGCAGGCTGGTCCCCACACCCCCGCCTACCTCAAGACTCCAGGTTGGGGGAGGTGCTGCTTCTCTCTGTCTACACTGACCACTTGTTTCAGAAGATGAGGGGGAGGGGAAGCCAGTCTCCTGGGAGGTAAAGATTGAGAGCGCTGAGAAAGCCCCTTGGTCCACTCAGCAGAGTGGGATGTGTGGACACAGGTGTGGGGGCTGGACTCCACATCTTATCTGTGGAAAGAAGACAGGCCAGCCAGCCTCTGTGATTCCCCGATTGTGGGGTCTGCACCTGTGGAGGCCAGGCATTGGGGTGCAGCCTGCTGCGATGTGCTGAGCCAAAGGGTGGCCTTGCTACTACACATTTGGGCTGAAAAAAATGCTCCAAGGTTCCTCAGGGCCCATGAGGCAGGGTCTGAAGCATGGCTTAGAGGCCCTGATTACTGGTCCCTAGCCAGGTGTTCTCTCCGGCCCTGTCTCTTTTCCCAGCACTTCAGCCCAACCTTTTTCAGGTCCCTGGTTTGCATAAGCTAGCCTTGCATCTTTGAGTATGCCGTTTTCTCTTCTCTCTCTTTCCTGGGTTCACTGCTACCCATTCCCCGGTCCTGGCCTAGTGTCACTCAGCCTGTTCAATTGTCTGTCCCACCGACAGCCTGGGGTAGGGCTGGTGTTGGACACTCCATTTGTGGCAGGAGGGCTAGGGCGGGCACAGGCTGGGGCAGGTGGGGCCCTGGGCAGCTGTGCCTTCCTTCTTCCCCAGTGGCCCATCATGACCTGGATAACACACTCAACTGCAGCTTCCTGGAGCCACCCTCGGGGCTAGAGCAGCCCTCTCCATCGTGGTCCTCCCGGGCTTCCTTCTCCTCCTTCGACACCACTGATGAAGGCCCTGTGTACTGCGTACCCCACGAGGGTGAGTACCGCTCTGCTTGCACCTGGCTCCAGCCCAGTGAAATGTTCCAGCTTATAAGATCTATGTGCGCTGGGGAACAGGCAGCACGGAGAGGAAGGGCATGGTGATGCTGTTAATGGGGTTGGACACACAGCTGAGCTGCAGAGTGGGGTTCTGTGCTGTCTGGCACTTGACTGGCGTGGGGTCTGGGGAGGTGGGTGGCTCTCTTGTCTCTTGCTATAGCCCAGGTTCACTTCTGGGGTAGACCAGGCAAAGAGAAGGAGGTGGCAGAGGAGACAGGAGTAGGGGAGGGGTCTGTAGAATATGGGGGCATACCTTTGCCTGAAGCCTTGGCCCACACACGTTGGGAAGGAGCCTGATGGGCTGGGATTCTGGCCTCTCCTCCCCTGACCATCCCACTGGGTGACCTTGGGCAGGTGACTAACGTCTGAGCCTTAGAAGCCTTATCTCCTAAAGAAGGATAATGAATCCCCTTGGAGGTGTTCGAGGGTCAAATTTGATGATGGTGGCCCCCCCCAGGCTGGGGATGTGGTGGGGGAGGGGTGCGAGACGAGGCAAGGCACTGTTGTTTGCGGTTAGCGCTCACTGTGGTTAATGCGCCAGGCATTTCTGGATGCCAGGGCCACTGAGCACCAGCCAGAGCGGGGAGGAAGAGGGAGGGGGGAGGGGAGGGAAGGGATAGGGGGAAGGCAAAGGTTTGCGCCTGGATGTTGGACGGCCCGAGCCCTTTCTGGAGCTGGTGACCGCCCCGTTCTCCCCCCGCCGCCCCGTCAGAGGCGCCAACCGAGAGCCGGGACTTGGAGGCCCCCACCGCCCCTGCGGAGGCGCTGGCGCCCTCGCCCGCGCCGGCGTCAGCTGAGGAGGCGACGCCCCTCCCCGCGTCCTCGGACAGCGAGCGGTCGGCGTCGAGCGTGGAGGGGCCAGGCGGGGCGCTGTATGCGCGCGTGGCCCGGCGCGAGGCCCGGCCGGCCCGGGCGCGGGGCGAGGCTGGAGGCCTGTCCCTTTCGCCATCGCCTGAGCGCAGGAAGCCGCCGCCACCCGACCCTGCCACCAAGCCCAAGGTGTCCTGGATCCACGGCAAGCACGGCGCCGCTGCCGCTGCCCGTGCGCCCTCGCCGCCACCCTCGGGCCTCGAGGCCACGCCTAGCCCCAGCAAGAGGAAACGGACGCCCAGCGACACGTCGGCTCGGCCGGAGGAGCCCGGGAGCCCCCGGGCCCGAGACGTGATGCCGCGGCCCCCGGGGCTGGCGGAGGAGGGGCCAGCCGTCGCCGCACCCTCGCCGCCCCGGGCTCGGGCGCGAGGCCGCGGCCCTGGCCTCTCGGAGCCCACGGACGCTGGCGGTCCCCCGCGCAGCGCGCCCGAAGCCGCCTCCCTGCTGGCCGCGGAGCTGCGGGACAAAACTCGCAGCCTGGGCCGCGCCGAGGGGCTCCCAGGCGCGCAAGGCCCCCGAGAGAAGCCGGCGCCGCCGCAGAAGGCCAAGCGCTCGGTGCTGCCCGCGTCGCCGGCCCGCGCGCCCCGTGCGTCCGAGGCCCCGGGGCCCGAGAAGGCGGCGGCCTGCGCGCCCGTGCCGGACACTCCTCGGAAGAAGACCCCCATCCAGAAGCCGCCGCGCAAGAAGAGCCGGGAAGCGGCGGGCGAGCTGGGCAGGGCGAGCGCGCCCACCCTGTAGCAGGCGGTGGCCCCGCGGTGCCCGCAGCTTCCCCCGGCTTCGCAGCGCTGCTTGCCACCCCGCGTCCCGCGCCCCCCGGCGTCTCCCGCGGCGGCCTGGGCACAGCGGCCTCCAGGGGCTCGAGGCCCGGAGCGGCCTGGCGGAGGCGGCATCCCCCTGGCTCAGGCTCCAGCGGCGGCTCCTTGATTAGAGCACGGCGCTCCGGCGGGAAGGTCCCGTCACTTTGGTCGAGGCCTCACAGGCGCTTAGCTGGCGACTCCCTTCCCAATGGCCGAGTTACGGAGGGCTCCCACCAGCCCGGGTCTCGAAGGCCGAGGACGGGAGGGTTCTGCCTAGTGACCACCTCTCACTGGCCAGGCGCGCCCTTGGCTGGGGCTGCTTTCTCATTGGCTGAGGCCAAAGCGCTTCTGCCCTGCCTGCCTCTCATTGGCCAGGGCCTGGCGCCTCTGGCTGGAGGCTCCTTTCCTTGGTAGCCCAAGGCTACTTCTGCTGGCCTGGCCCCCGGGCATCTGGTTGACCTGAGCCTGGGGAGGAGGGCTGGTCTCTGCTCCTCAGGGGTCAGCTCTCCCCGGCTCCCTCCGCCCGTCCCAACCCTTCCCCTCCCTGTACCCCCAGCCCCAGCCTCCCCAGCCCTGGCCCCTCAGCTGTCAAGCTGGTTTTGATGGCCTCCCACCACTTCACAGCCGTGGGAATCAGAGGGGCGACTCCAGTGGCCTGAGGAGACATATTTATAGGCCCCCGGCAGGGCTGCTCCCACCCCATCCGGGTGCCCCAGGATGGGCTCCTCCTGGTAGGGGCTTGGCCAAAGCTTTCTTAATAAAATGCCTTCTTTCTTCCTGTGCTCTGACTGCTTCTTATCTGCTGGGCCTCAAACAAGGATGTCCCTCCAAAGAAATTGCACGTGACCTCTTCCACCTGCACTCATGCCGCCAGGACCCCTCGACCTAAGCAGAGCCTGGGAGCCCAGGTTTGGGTCTCCTGGGACCACACTGGAAGTGGGTTGTGCCCATCTGCTCATCATTCATTTGTCTATCAAATTTATTGGGCACCCACCTTGGCCTGCCTCATCCTGGACTGACCGCCTGGGATGAAGGATGGACTGGAACAGATAGGGTGGAGTCCCTTGGCTACAAGGAGCCAGTGTGTGGGGCTGCTTCTGACCTGGGCCACTGCTGTTACACTTGGGGGCTCTGAGCTGTTTGGTCTGGCTGGGGCAGGTCAGAGGCTGGGGCCAGGGTGCAGTGGGCCACGGGCACAGCCTCCAGCAGGGCCTCATCTGGCACAAACAAGGCGGTCTGGTGGTGCACAGAGCCCCGCTGTCCGCCTCAATGGGCTGCTTGTCCTCAGCCGGAAACTCTCACCCGCCCACCCCGCCTGTCCTCGGGAGGTGAGGAGAGGGAGGGGAGCATGCCTGGCTCACAGCCCTGGCTGGCCTCGCAGGCAGCACCCCACTGCCTGGCCTCGGCCAGCCCTCCCTCTGGCCTGGCCTTCTGTGACCATTTGTCCCCTAGTGTCTTCACTGCTTCAGGCTGTCAGGCAGGCCTCCCCAGTGACCTTCCTGAGCAACGGAGCCTTATCTTTCTACAGCGCCCACTGCCCTCCATACATCTGGGTTCTTCCCATCTCCTTGCCTCTGCTGGGCGGGCCTCTTTCCCATCTTTAGATGCTCAGCTCTTTCCTTCAGGAGATTCTGCCAGGATTCTCCAATCCTCTCACTACCTCTGCCCTGCAGCCCCCAGCACAGCATGAGTCTCAGCAACCCCAGCAGCTCTGGGATCTCACCTGGCAAGGCTGTCGCCCTCTGGCCGGATACCACATTGAGGTCAACTTCAGTCACCCATACAGGGGCTCAGCCACCTGAGTGGAGATGGCCTCAGGCCACGGACAGGACATCTGGCGTGGGCTGCACAGGCAGTCCCTGCACCTGGCCTGGTCAGGCAGCACGTGAAATGTAGGCTCGCTGTCTCCAGGGCATGCTGCTTTCTTTGGGCCAGCTGGGCACCCACCCAGCCGTGGCCCTGTGGCTGGCTAGCATTTGGGCACCAGGCCATGCTGGCTGCTGGGGTTGAGAACACAAGCTTGAAGTCAGCCAGGAGGGGCAGATGCTCAGCTGGGCCCAGCAAGGGCAGGGCAATAACTGAGGGCAGGGCAGTGGTTGAGATCACAGTCTTGCTGTGCCCTTCCCCACAGCACCGCCTTGTGCCACACTGCTGTTCTCTGAGCCTCCCAACCCCTGGCTCTAGCTCTTCCTCTCCTTAGCAGTCTGCATCAGCACAGTGTGGGGAGACCAGAGTGGTCACCTCGACTGGGCCTTTCCTGGGGCTCCTCTTCCCCTTGCCCTGGGAGCCCCACAGGCATCCAAGACCCTGACCTTCAGGATCCCTGCTGTGTGGGTGCCTCCTAGAGCCAGGGTGCCTCCTGCACTTCTGGAAGCCAGCCCCTGCCGCCTGTACCACGGGACCCAGACACTGTGGCCTGAAGACCAGGCACGACCCAGGCTGAGAAGCCGCCGGGATGATCTGGGTGGCTGCCTGGGGAAGGAGCTGCTGGGACCCCTCCCCACCCCTCTGCCCAACACACGCTTCCTCCCCACCCCCTCAGGCCTGCAGCAGTGCCAGCTCCCAGGGCAGGCGCCACAAAAGGGAACCATGGCTGCTGGAACCTCCGTTGCCATGGGGATGGGGACCACAGGACCCACATCTGGTAGCGATTGAGGAGGAAAAATTATGAGTCGTGGAAAACGCAAATATTTTCTGTAGCTCAGAGCACAAAGGAGCGGGAGGAATGTGGGACTGGAGAAGGCCTGAGCCCGGCTGGGTTTCAAAAGGGACGTAGCACACATCACACAGAGAGACCGCTACACACACACCACCACACACACAGAAACGCTGAGAGAAACTCGCCCTACAACACACACTCCATTAGACCCACAGAAACGTGGAGAGACACTCACCCACAACAACGCGCATACCACCAGACGCACAGAAACACTGAGACAGACACACACACTTGACATGGACCCACACATACAACCAGACCCAGAGAGAACTCACATGCCAGGACACACACACAGTCCACTAGACAGAAACAGACACTCCCTCTCCAACACAAACACACAGTCCATCGCCCACAGAAACACACCTGTAACACCACACATATGCACCAGAACCACCACAGAAACACCGAGAGAGACACACGCACTACAGCAAACAGATCCATTCAGCCAGCCCACAGGAACGCGGGGAAGCATGATTACCCGCAGGACACGCCAGATCCTGCTGACGCACAGAAACAGGAAAAAACAGACTCACTCCGCCATACACACTGTGTCCGGCAGACACAGGCACACCGAGACAGACACTCGCTGCAACACACAACCAGCACCACGGGCCACATAGAACACACAAGACAGACATGACCCTGCAACACAAAAACATACACCACCAACTTACAGAAGCATCTAGAGAGACGCAGAACCTGCAACACACACACACACACACACAGCCCACCAGACCCACAGGAGCACTCACTGTGCAATCACATACATCCTCAGCCAGAGACCCCCAGATGGACCCACGCTGACACACATACATACATGCCACCAGACAAACACACACAACCTGCCATACACACACTCCACCAGATCTACAGAAACATTGAGACACACGCCTCACAAACACACACACATCATCTGACACACAGAAACACAGAGACAGACACACCAGGAAACACACACATCCCACAGCAAACAAACACAGGGACAGAGAGAGCCTGCAGCAGCCACGCACAGCCCGGCCGACCCGACCACGTGATGCAGCGAGCCCTCAGCCTAAAACACACACAAACACACTCCACCAGAAACTCAGATACGAGTCCTGCACGCGCTCTGCACACGCAGGCATGCAGAGCACTGCGACAGACGCACACAGTGGAAACTCACACACGAGCCAGCAAACACGCAGAAGCAGTGGGTCAGAGGGCCAATCCTGAAGTTGACGGGAGCCACGTGCGCTGGAAAAGCGTGATGGTTGAGAACGCCATTCTTCTGTGCTCTGGGAAATGGCTGACCCTGGAGGACCACTCTGCCCTTACATATGCCATGACACCCCCCCTTCCTCATGACTCCCTTGTTTACCCACCTCTTGAAAAACCCAAGCCCTTTCTTTCCTTGCAGACGTTCCTCATTAGCGAACTTCCTTCCTGTTGTTGTAGCCCGAATATAGTCATCTCCCTAATTGTGGGCTGCATCCCCATGCGGTGTGGGTGCCCCGATGAGGCGTGGATTGGACCTTGCCTTCGGATGCCCCTTCACTCCCTCAAGGTAATGGCCTCTCGGAGCCCTTGGGTGCCACTCCTGACTGGCAATCGAGGGCCACACGGGGAGTCCCACTCTGGTCCTGTGCTCTGGGTTCTTATCTTTTGGTGGCATGGTAAGAACATGATTTTTTTTTAATTGAGGTATAATTGACATAGAGCATTATGTTAGAGGTGTACAACATAATGATTCAATATTTGTATATATAGCAAAATGGTCACCACTCTAAGTTTGGTTGACATCCGTCACCACACATAGTTACAGAAAAATTTTTTTCTTGTGATAACTTTTAAGATCTACCCCTTTAGCAACTTTCAAATATACGATACCATATTATTAACTGTAGTCACCATGCTGTCCATTACATCCTTAGGACTTAATGGATTTTATAACTGGAAGTTTATACCTTTTGATCACCTCCATCCATTCCCCCCCGACCCCAGCAAGCACCAGTCTCTTCTCTGTATCTGTGAGCTTGGTTTGTTTTTGTCTGTTTTTTTTTTTTTTTTTTAACACATATTAGTGAGATCATACAGTATTTGTCTTTCTCTGTCTGACTTATTTCACTTAGCATAATACTCTCAAGCTCCATCCTTGTTGTCACAAATGGCAAGATTTTGTTCTTTTTTATGGCTGAGTAGTATTCCATTGTGTATACATAGCACAACTTCTTTATCTGTTCATCCATCAATGGACACTTAGGTTGCTTCCATATCTTGGCTATTGTAAATAATGCTGCAATTAACATGAGGGTACATATATCTTTCCAATTAGTGTTTTTGTTTTCTTTGGATAAATACCCAGAAGTGGAATTGCTGGATCATACGGTAGTTCTATCCTTAATTTTTTGAGGATCCTCCTTAAGGTTTTCCATGAGGACATTTCCCATAGCGAATTTTGGTTCTTTTGGAGGACTTGATTTCTGGTGCCTGCTTCTTTTGGTTTCTTGACTGATCTTGTCTCTGTTGGGTGAGTGATGACAGAATATGTGGTTTGTTAATCTTTTCTGTTTGTGTGTCCATTTGTCTGTTTTGAGCTTAAATCAAGAGTTTGTACCCACTGGGAAGGTGGCTTGGAGATGTGGCCAATAGATGGAAAGAGTTATGCTGTCTTGAAGGTTTTCTTAAGATTGGTTGGAGAGGCTATGATACGAACAGGAAAGTGAACAGGTGCTTGTGACATAGCCAACAGTTTGTACACTTTGGCGAGGCTCACATGCCTCCCAAGAGGGCAGGGTGACGGGGTGGGGTTAGGTGAGCAGAGGTCTGGGAGCAGAAAGCGAGAGTGGAAAGACAGGTGAGGGCATCTGCAGAGGCTGGGACCACATGGAGGAGGAGGGCAAGTGGGAGAGTAAGAGGGAGTCTGGGTGGAGGAGACATCTGATGGGGGTACAGTGGGGCAGAGACCGTGGATGATTGCATCTGGGGTTGTCATCAGGCACAGTCCATCTTCAGGTGAGGTCATCATCAGATGAGTCCAGCTGCAGGCTGAGGTCACCTGCTTTAGTCAAGAAGTTGGTTAGTTT